GGTCCAGGTGGTTGAGTATCAGAGTGTTCCATTTCATTTCCCTTTGTGGTTGCTGTAGGTGATCTGGAAGTCTGGTTTTGAGACTTATTTACCTGTTTTCTCATTTCGACTGGGGTGGGGGGCTGTTAGCGCCTTGGTCTGGTGGTCTGGTGGTCTGGTGTCCTCTGCGTCTTTGTAGTGTGGAATCAGGTGGCTGCCTGTCTGCAGCGGGGTGATTCAGTGTCTTCCGCGGGACTCAGGACCTCGGTAGCGCGTGCACAGACCTGCCTGTCTGCAGTGGGGTGATTCGGTGTGTGTTGCGACTGGGGACCTCGGTAGGGTGTGGGGGAGACAGCTTAATTTTTAAAGTGGGGCATGTGGTAATTTGCTTTAGCCTGATATTTTGAGGATAGTTTAAAATTTCACACTATTGAAATAAGAACTTTATAGGTAGTATCTCTGAGCAGATTTCTTGTGTGTGTGTGTCCATGTATATATATCTTTTTTTTGGGCAGGGGGGATACCGGGGATCAAACTCAGGACCTTGCGCTTGTAAGACAGCCGGCAGCACCACTGAGCTAAATCCCCAGCCCCGAGTGTATATATTTATTATGTAGGGTTTGTTTTTTTTTTTGCCCTAGGTCTGTTCAGTGAGACTGTTTTGTATATGCACTGGGCTCTTTAGAAAGAATTCCTTTTATATGAGCCTTCATGAAGAACAGTTATTATCAGAAGACAGAAAAATTTGTTATTCAATACTGTATTTAATTCTTCTTGCCTTCTTTTACAGAACAGCATAAGAGGGAAAACACAACTATTTGAACTCTGATTGAAAATAACGTAGCTAGTGTAGGCTCTCAGTATAACCTTTGATTAGTAAGTGGAACCATTTTTTCTTCAAGTTGCTAATTTTTAATAACAGATTTTAAGATCCTTGGGTTAAAAAAAGAATCTTGTGCCATCTCTAGTACTGCAAAAAACAAAAACAAAACAAAACAAGAATCTTACAGGGTGGAGATGTAGTAGCATGCTTGCCTAGTGTGCATTCATGAGGCCCTGGGTTCTACCCCTACCACTGCAAAAACAAAAAGAATCTTTAATTTTATAGTTGGAAGAGATTTTATAAAGTGTCTTGTCATGATACTTTTAGTACTTGTATTTTTGTCACAGAAAGTTAGAACTTAGCGCTGGGGATTTAGCTCAGTGGTGCCGCTGCCTGCCTTGAAAGCGCAAGGTCCTGAGTTCGATCCCTGGTACCAAAAAAAAAGTTAGAACCTGAAACAAACTACCGACTAAAAGCAGTCCAGAACAAACAAAGGTGAAGGAGTATCCATTAACGTGGGCGAATGAATAAGTCAGCTATTTTGCTGCCCTTTGCTTTCTGAGCTAACACATTAGCCTATGGTTTTAATCTGAGACTGTTCTAAGAAATTTTGTGCTGTTTGTCTTATGCGAATCTCTGTTACAGTATGCGGGGGTCCTACTTGGTGGTTTGAAAATCCGTGAGTAGAATTTGGTATATTTAAAAGTGTATGGAAGTGGGCCGGGGAGGTAGCTCAGTGGCAGTGCGCCTGCCTTGCAAGCGCAAGGTCCTGAGTTTGATCCCCTGTACCAAAAAAAAAAAAGTTAAAAAAGTGTATGGAAGCTGGGGATTTGGCTCAGTGGTTCTGCCATCTGACTCACAAGCAAGCGCAAGGTCCTGAGTTCGATCCCTGGTACCAAAAAAAAAGTACATGGAAGTGTCTAACATATATTCCTCTCTTTTTTAGGAAACTGAAAATGGCCCTTCAGCTATGCTAGGTCTATAATGGGAAGTGTCACGGTTCGATATTTCTGTTATGGGTGCCTTTTTACATCTGCTACCTGGACAGTTTTGCTTTTTGTTTATTTCAACTTCAGTGAAGTGACTCA